CATTCCATTCCATTCCATTCCATTCCATTCCATTCCATTCCATTCCATTCCATTCCATTCCATTCCATTCCTATTTTATCTTTGGATTAAAAAGAACATCTATTCTAAAGTGATGGAATATACAGGACCCACCATTCAATCTAACCCAAGGCCAGGGGAAAAGCCAAGATTCATAAATATGGCCAGAGGGAACAGTGTTCCAGACGGCAGGCCTCATGACAAAGAGGCATGCTGCCTAGGTCCTGCCACCTGGCACTGCTTAATGGTGGGTACTTGGAGCATGCCAAGTCTGTTGAATCATACAAGACAGACAGAAACTACAGCATACAGACAGTCCCTTAGATAGCTAGGCAGTTTGTTGGCAATTTTATTTTTATTCCTTTTCTTAATGACTCCTAGCACAGAATTTGTCTTTTCATAGTTGTGATACAATGAGTTGATACTATCATCATGTCTCCAAGAACTTATTTCTGGTTAGTTACAGACAATCGAATTCTATCAGTATATATGTAAAGTTAGATTTTTTTAACCTAGTGTACATCACTCTACATTTACCTAAATGGAACGGCATTGCCATTTGGATGACTATTCACCCAGCTGAAAGAGGTATTTCTGGAATTCTTCATAATTACTTTTGGTAACTATTCCAACCTGAATAGTTTATTTTCATCTGCAAACCTGACCAGCATACTGCTTACCCTTAGTCAGGATTATTTTTAAACAAAATTTAAAAAGCATTAGTCTCCAAAAGATTCTTGAAGGATTTCACTTCTTACTTTCCTCCACTGAAAAAAAAATTGTTCATTTATTCCTACTCTTTGCTTTCTGTTTTTAGCCATCCAGAACCCATAAAAGCTCTTCTTGTGCCATGACTGCTAAATCTACTCAAATGTCTTTGATGAGAAATTTGGTCAAGAGGTTTAGAAAATCTAAGTCATCTCTATTCAAGTGCCGGCCGAAACACTAAGAAACCTCTAGGGGGTTCATCACAATTCATGCTGCTTTAACTTCAGCAAAACTTGTTCCTCTAAATGTTTAGGGTTTTTTCCTTTGATTACAGTTTCCATTAATTTGCCTACAATGCATACAGAATTGGCCAGCCTATAATTTGCCAGCTTATGTCTCCCCCCAAGTATCCCCATAAAATACTGCTGAAATTAACAAAATGGCCAAATTTCAGTCATGCAATTTTGGAGGGGGGAAAAAATAGTCCAAACAAGGTAGATTCCAAAGTTTTTGGAAAATGACTGCTTATAGCCTATGCATTTTGGAAGAATTCCTTTATCAAAGCTTTTTTGTATATGCTGAAAATAATGAATTAATTTAGCCAGTGTAAGGAGAAAAACCTCAGTGCTTTTGACAAACAGAAACTTCATCTGAAATGCATTAGGTGGCATTTCAGTAAACATTTTGAGGTACTACTGAGTATCTCCTGCATTTTTGTTTGCCCTCCCCCTTTTAGTCTGCAGTAGCACTTCACCTGGAATAGGTTTTAAGGGTATTTTGTGAAAATCACTGCCCTGTCCTTTAGAACAGAGCTATCCTAGCAGTCAACATGTGAGGAATGAGAGGTGCACTTGAGAAACATTTATTTGAAGGTGAGTAGAATGACAGAAAGGAGTTACAACTAATAGCATATGCCTAGGCAGCAAAGAAATCTTTCTTCAGTGCATGGACCACTTAGTACTATTCACCAAACATCATTAAAGGTATTAATAGATTAGGTCTGAGTCCATTAAATCTAGCATTCAAAGCCTAAAGTAGCCAGCTAGATGCCTCTCCAAAGCACACAAACAAGGCATTACTTTCAGCCTTCTTTGCCTTTTGTAAGTGGTAGATACAACTTCAGATACCTAAACTATTTTGGGAGCGGTTGCACAATTTTACCTTAGTTCTTTCCAAATTAGCTTCTTCAGTCATGTGTACTGCTTGTTTTACTTGTTCATAAGCACTGCATTCCCTCTGTTGCATTTCATTTAAGTTTATTCTTATTGTAGAAAGTGCTGTCATTAACTCGTCTCTCTCTCTTAAAAAAGAGAGAAGAAAGAAAATATCAATATATTAGATAGGTAAGAGGTACTTCAGCAAGATAAAGAGCAACTTCAATGTTCAGTAACATTTAAAAGTTACTTATATAGAAAGAGATTGTATTAGATTTATGCCAGCTACGTAATTTTTTTTAAAAAGTTACATATGGTACGCCACATCTTTACATGTTGAGCTATAAATTAGGAATGCTTCTATAAGAAATAGTTTAGGTTCTAGATCATGAAGGGGTAAGCTGGGGCATAACCACAGTCACCTTCCCAAGAACCCCCCACCCCCGCAGTTGCTGCTGACAGAAATATGGTCAAATTATAACAGCATAATTTTCAGCTGCTTTTGGGACAGGATGGGAGGGCAATTTAAGGGTGGAGAAAGGAAAGAGTTGTCTCCTAGAGGCTTCCTACTCCCATTCCCGCCTTGAAACAAAAACCAAACAGAAAAAAATTGGTCAGAAAAAAAAATAGCTCCACTATTCTCAGTGATTTCATAGCATGACCAGCCTCCTGAGAGTCTGCAGAATTTCTTAAGATGTAACCCTCAGACCCTCAAATATTGCCTAGAATAAGGAGGAATAAGTAATACATATATGGCAGATAAATTATTTGTTCAGCTATAGTTATAGGCAATTACCTATAACTCTGACTTCAATTGTTAAATATGATGGTTAGAAAATAGAGAACATGAAATTGAGGCAGATCCTCATTCAGTTGGTAAAATCTTATTGTTTATTTCTGAATCACCTTTTTTTCTGCAACCAATGACTCCCACTTTTTTTTATCATATCTACATATAAAGATAGCATCTTAAAAGTATTGATTGGATAAATCTAATAAAAAAAGAGAATATAACAAATGGAATTATTTATATTTACATGACGGCTCCTATCAATCTGTTGGGAGTGTAAATGAACATTGAGCCTTTTTAAGTTCTTACCAACCAGAAGTGCTATATGAAAAGTTCTTGTTGTGTTAAAGGAAAAAGGGAACCATATGTGAAATGGAGTTTAGGGATTCATTAAGAACCATTCAACAAGCAAATAAACCACTCTGTTATGAGTCTATGGCGGGCGGCTGCTGGGGAGGAAGATACTCTAAGAGGAAAGGAGCTCTCATAAAGCTTCCATTCATTGTAATGGGGCTTGTAGAATACTTCATAGCCAATTGCGCTAAAATTACTGATTTTCATGAAATTATTTGTTACAACTGTTATACTCTGTGGGGGGTTTTTAAATTCAGAACTATCCATCTGCTTACTTTGTTAGTCTTTCAATAGTTTGCATATGGACATTTGAATGAGTCTGGGAAAGAACTGCTTCATGCTGTGCACAATTTAAGCAAAGCCCACCAGGCCTACTAGAACTATTTGCTGCATTGATCAAATGCTGATGTTTTAATCTTCCGCTCAAATCTTCACAGTTTTTTTGTGATTCTGACAATGCCTTTCTGCAACAGTAACAACATAAAAGCATTATAAACAGCATACATAGTTGAAGTGCAATAATGACTGGAAAGCAACAGGAACAACTATTTTCTTATTGTTTTTAAATTCTCTAAAAGACCATAGCTTTGTGCCACATTAAAGACCAACCAATTTATTATCACATAAACCTTTCATGGATCACAATCCATATTATCAGATGCATAAAATACTGTCCTGAGTAAATATTACCATATATCATTGAAGGCTGGGGAGAGGGAAGAAGAAATGAGTGGAAAAATGAATAGTGACAAATAAAAGAGCATCAATTGCTAAATATGATACTGGTATTTTTGAATTAAGATGCTGGTTAAAATGTATCTACAGCATGATAAGAAAGCTTGGTCTCTATTTTAGGAACTAGAAATCTTGTATTTTTTTAATGAAACAAATTGATTTGAATGATAGCATCTTAAACAGTTTGCATGTTTATTTGACTTTGACACTGCCCACTCCAGATCTTGGACAGAACCAACTGAAACAGGTCTAGATAATCCACTTCCTCCAGGACTCTCATCAACTGCACACCAAACCACATTTTCAACAACCTTCTCTAAAAAGGGAACGTTAGAGACAGGATGATAGTTAACTGTATATTGGGTCCAAGGAGGTACACGCCCTCCCAAAGAGGCGAACACCTCTTCAAGACAGGAGGTACACCCCCTCCCAAAGAGGCGAACACCACAGCATGGATCTAAGGTCACCTTCCTGGTCACTTTCATGACCCAGAAAAGGCCCTGGGTCCAATAAACAGGTAGCTGAACTGATAGCACAGAGAACCCTGTCCACTTCCTAAGGAGTTACTGGTTGAAACTCATCCCTGATCACACTACAAGACTGGACACCAAGCACCTCAGCTAGACCTATTCAGTCAGGGTCCAAGTCAGAGCAGATCCAGGCAACTTTATCTGCCAGATAGCCAGAATATTCCTCACAGCAGCCCCAGGACTGCATCATCTAAAATAGAGCTGCTGGAAGGCTATTGGCAGATGCAATAAGGGCAGAGCTATATTGAAATTTCACTGTCCTTATTGCCACAAGATAATCTCTAATGTGGGCTTTCACCTGTGTTTGATCTATGTCTAAGTGGTATATACCTACTACAATCATGATCTATTCTCTATCTCACTTTTTCTTTCACTATTTCTATAGTCCATGCATCTGATAAAATGAACTAAGATCTTTTAAAGCATGAATAATTATAAACTGATAAATCTTCAGAGTGACATAGGATATTTCAAAGTTTTTGCTGCAAATGACTAATAACACCACACCTCTGAACTGTTAAGTTCATTATAACTGATTGGTAGCTTAATGCTTTAATGAACTTACAAACAGAAAGAAGCAAAACAATTTCACCATTCATTCATTCATTGCTCATTCTGAAAATGTTGGGAGGGAGTCCCTATGCTGTTCAAAGAAAAACCTGTTCTTTCTAATAAGTTAATTAATAAAATTACTGTGCAATTATATAAATAACCATGCTGCAAGGCAGATAGACACACATTCTTCACCTTACAAATAACAAATATTTTAAAAAATATTGTTTTAGGCATCAGAGAGATGTAGAGCAAGTGAAACAAACTTCATTCAGTTCTGAAAGATTTATCTGTATAAAATAACAGTATGGTTGCAATGTTAGGGATTTTTTTCCTTCTGGGCATCGAGTGATGCTTTGCAGTTACTTAGTCTTATCAGAGAAGGGACAAACATACATCCAATTATGTATAGAAACAAACTCTTTATAAAACTGTGAAGCACGTGTCTCAAACTTTTAAGAGTACAGAAAAAATTAATGGTGATTTATTTCTACTGACTTATGAACAGATATCATGAGGCAAAATGAGACAATTCTATAAAGGGGTAAAGCACCAACCTAAAAGAAATAAAGATACTTTTTTACCGTAGAGACTGGATCTGAGCTTCAAACACTTCAGTCTTTTCTTCATGAAGATATTTTAGTTTTTCCTTTAAAACAAAATTAGTATGTATCATTTGTTCAGCTATAGATAAGACATGGTCAGGATTGCTAGGGCATCAGCAAAATTTCAGCAATTTATTTATTTATTTATTTATCATTAAAGTTATAGGCTGCCTGACTCCATCATGATTTTGGGTGCCAAACCTGCACTAGCTGAAAATGGAAATTAATTTAAATTACACAGCAACAACCATGCCTTCCTAAGAATAAAATGATGTAGTTATATATTAACTCAGTCTAACTGAGCATTATTAACTATTAGATATCGTCTATTAAATCTGCTATTCAAGTATTATTAAGTAGAAATGCTAGGAACTGAGACAAAGATCTTACACACAGAACTCTAAACTACAGAGCCACAGAGTTAAACTTTAAATGCCAAATCTAATTGTTTAGGGATTTATGTGATCATTTGTTGTAAAATTCTAATATTTAAATCACAAGCTTTCCCTTAGCCTTTTTAGATAGACAATTAAACTTTAATATTAAAAGACAGAACATGTAATTAAAGACATACTTCAATGTAGTATTATTTATAAATGGTTATTTTGAAGGGCTTTTAAATAGTCCAGACCTTCTCCTTCCTGCAGCATTGAAAATTATGATCCTGAAGCAGGAATATAGCACGTTGGCTGAATCACGTGTAATATTCTGATGCATTCCCTCTTGTGATCTTGTTTTTATTTACGTTTAATTGTTTTAAGTGGTTTTTGAAGAATGTTTTTAATTGTTGGTTTTATTGTATACCTGCCAGAGTCACTTTTGTGAGATGGGCGGCCGTATAAATCTTATATATATAAATAAAAAACTTGGATTCAATATTTTTATTTATTCTCTAGGTTTGCAACCTACTCCTTGAACATTTGTTATTAAACTTAGAAATATAAAATAAATATAAAATAAAAGTGCAGCAAAACTACAAAATTAAAATGTAAAGCATGACAAAATAAAACATACGCTCTGCTGAATGGTTTTTAAAAAAAGATGGAAAAATGAAGAGACCTTCCACCTATTCTTGGAAGGGCCTCTTTGTTTAGTCATCACTTACCTTAGAAAATAGCAATATCCTGGAGAAAAGTCTCTAATAATGAGCCCAGTATGAATGAGTGAACAGGTATAAAAGAAATTGAGCTTACAGATAGTTAGGTTCCAGGCTGTATAAGGCTTTAAAGCTGAACAACAAAGATCAGAAAAAATGGTAACCTGCTAAATTATTTTAGGTGAAATAAGAGTCTTATATCTGATCTTCATTAGCATCTCTATTTTGAACTGCACTTTCTGGTCATGTAGTACATGTCATTAATCCAATCTAAATTAATTACAGTTTATTAAATGTTCACACTTTCAACATAAAAGTAGAGCTTTTTACCAGAATGATAAATCATTAATGCTAAAATAATAATTTAATTGACATTTTAAAAATACTGACCAGTTCCAATTGCCACTTTTCCAACTCCAGTGTAGGTGCCTTGGCTTGCTCATTGATATGACAAGATGATTTAGCAGCTCCACAAACATGAGAATAATCACCACTTATACCACCAGCATTTGAGAGAGGTACCTGAAACATATATTTATTTATAACAAGCTCAATAACTGATGATAATCATATAACCTTATGTGTTATATTATTAACTACTATAGTAAATTATTGAATAAATTATTTCCACAGGTTGCTTCCTTCCATTACAACATCATCTCTGCGCCATATTCCAGATCGTTCCTTATGACTTCCAGGAGAGTTTTAGTTTTAATAAAGAGATCAGGTCAGAAAAACAATGTTGCACAAATGAAATTCTGCTGGTAAAATGAATGGAAGCAACCACTGTTATACACTAAGGCCATTAAAATATATAATTGAACAAAACTCTGCATTTATTGAGTTACGATGACTAAACTTATTTCTATTTTTCATGTTTCCTACTCTGCAAGATGAGACATACATTTAGGGATAAGCTAAATCTATCTATGTCCTTCGTATTTAGAAAGCTTAGGGGCAGAATGCTTTGCCAGAAGCAATGCCTGGAACACCATTAGAGAAAGACAAAGAGTGAATCTGACTGAGTAAGAGACCATATTTAGGCCTATGTTGTGGTGATAAGGGCGGCCAAACTTGGTTATTTCTCCATTCTTATTGTATCTGGTGACAGCCACCCAGCACTCCTATTTAGAGTGATCTGCTCCCTGGGGGGTCCCTGGGGGCAGGCTGGACCACAGTAACATATGCAGGGCCATGGTGAGGAATATTCATGCAATCTTGCAGACAAACTCAGATTCACTTGGAGTTGAACTCTGACAGGGCAAAGCATGCAACAAAGTCTCTCATGATATCCTCATTAATAAAACAATAAAATGTGAGATAGATGATACAACTGTTAGATGGTTTTATAATTGGCTGAAGGATTGCATCGAGAGAGTACACATACTGTAAACAGTTGCACATCAGCTTGGACAGTAGCATTGAGTGGGGTGCCAGAAGGCCTATCGTGGGCCCTGTGTTGAGCAACATTTTCATTAATGACTTGGATAAAGAGGTGGAAGAGATGATTATTAAATTTTCAGATGACACAAAACTAGGAGGTGTGACTAATACTTTAGAAGAAAAAATTCAAGAAATTCTAGACAGGCTTAAAGAATGGGCCAAAACGAACAGGATGAAATTTAACAAGGAGAAATTTAAAGTTCTGCAACTGGGAAGAAAAAGTAAAAAGCACAAGTATAGCATGGGGAGACCAGGCTTGGCAGTAGTAGATGTGAAAAGGATACGAATGTTCTAACAGATCACAAGTTCAACATTAGTTTACAGTGTGATACAACTGCTATTTTGGGAAGTATTAACAGGAAATAATGGTCCCAACTCTGTTCTGCATTGGCCAGGCCCCATTTGGAATAAAGTGTGGAGTTCAGGACACTTTAGTCTAAAAGGGATATCAACAAAATGGAACAAGTTCAGAGAGTGGTGAGGGGACTGGAAACCAAATCCTATTAAGAATAAAAAAAGGAATTGGGTATATTTAGTCTGCAGAAGAGAAGACTAAAGGGAGATACTATAATAGTGTTCTGATATCTAAAAGATTATATAGAGAGGAAGAATCAACTTGCTTTCTGTTATCCCAGAGGGCACATCCAGAACCAAAGGGTTGAAATGACAGGGAAGTAACTTCAGGTTAAATATTAGGAAGAACTTCCTGATTATAAAGGCTGCCAGCCAGTGGAACAGGTTGCTTCATGAAATGATCTGCTTCTCCTTCACTGGAAGCTTTCAAACAGAGACTGGATAGCCTCCATCCAAAATGCTTTTAACAGACCCTGCTCATAGCAGGGGTTTGGACTAGATGATCTCTGAGGTTCCTTCTAATTCTTATGATTTCATGATTCTATGCACAGAGGAAATACTAAATGAACTCTACCTTTATGAACACTATGTACAATACACATCTATTTCTCTGTTTGTATATCTGGTAACATAAGCTGCATGTATGTGACCTATTTTGATGTATTATTAAATCTCCTAAAGATTGATTTCTTATTAAACAAAATTTTAAGATTAAATTTCTATTTCAGTTTGACATTTTAAATTCCACAGAACTTACTGAGGCATCAAGGACAGTTTGCCCTCTTAAAGTCTTCTCTGTTACCATTTTCAGATCATTTTGTAGCTTCTCATTTTCAAGTACAACAACATGTATACGTGCTTTCAATTCAGACATTTCTTCCTAGAAAGTTGAGTATGTATATTATGAATGTGATTATTTTAAAAATGGCATCAATGCTCTTCCCAAACCGTAACGACAGTAGTGTGATGAACACTCAATTTTGTATAAAATCTGATATTAATGTAATAGATAGCACAGCTTAATTTAAGGACATATCAAACAACAAAAAGGGATTCCTGACCAATTCTAACATGGATTAAATAATATGCTCCTGAAGTAGTCCAAAGTCCTTTTCCGTTAATAAAAAGATCATTTTTCACCAAAATACTACTAATAAAACATGAGTTTAAAAAATAATTTTTCCCTATTCTTTAAACCTGCATAAAATCAAAGTGTTTTTATTGTCTGAAGTCTGACATTGCTTAGCCAACTGTGTAGGGTTTTTCTATATTTAGAGTTCTAAACTATAATAAACCAGGAGGGGAAAGTTTTATTATATACAAAGTGCAAAGTAACTCACATATGTAGAACATATTTCAATTAATTACAGGTACAGGTAGTCCTCAGTTAATGACCATTTGTTCAGCAACTGTTGAAAGTTACAACAGCACTGAACGAGGAGAATTAGCGCCACTTCTTGAAGTTTCAGCTGTCACAGCATCCCCGCAGTCATGTGATCACGATTTGGGTGCTTGGCAACCAGCTTGAAATTATGGTGGTCACAGTGTCTCACAGTCACATGATTGCCATTTGCTACCTTCACTGCGGGCTTCCAACAAGCAAAGTCAATAGGGAAGCTGGAAGGAGGTCGCAAATGGCAATCACGTGACATTGCACCTAATGGTTGCATGGGATTCATGTAACGACTGGAACTGCAACTGCCAGAAATGCCGTTGTGAGTCAGCGCAGTCACATGACATCGCACTTTACAACCGCATAGCTTAGCAACAGAGTTCCCGGTCCCAATTACCGTCATTAATCAATAACTACCTGTATTAAATAGGAATTCAGTGAGAAATGTACAGTGGAACATCGGGTTACGAACACTACTGTTAACGAACTTTTCGGGTTACGACCAGCTCCGGCCGCAAAATTTTGCTTCGGT